ACTCCATACCCGAGGCGTGAGCAGTCAAGGCCGGCGGCCATAGCCAGGCAACCATGGCAGTCGCCACGGTGCCAGGCTTGGTGGCGGCAGTCCTCCTTCACTCCATAGTCGAGGCGTGAGCAGGCAGCCGAGGCGAGAGCAGATTCTTCCCGCCAAAATCCCTCGTCCTCGTTCACGAGTGTGAGAGAGAGGGGGGACTCTTTGGCTATGTGGTCGTGTGCAAGGAGGCAGATGATGTGTCTACGTGGCTATTTAGTTGTCTGGCTACGTCGTTATCATGTGGGTATATAGCTACTTCGCTTTATTGCTACGTGGCTATTTGGCTATATGGTTACGTCGCTATTTGACTACGTGGTAATATGTCTCTAGACTGGTTATGTGTCTACGTGATACGTGGCTATGTGACTATTTGGCTACGTTGTTCTGTGGCTAAAAAAAATAAATAAATCTCTAATGACTTGATTTGATATATGGCTAAACTTCTTTCTGTAAAAACCCGCTCCACAAAATGAAATTTTCATTTTGGGTTTTAGCTGAAGTGACAAGAGTCACATGAAACCCACCAAGGTGTTCAAAAATTTCGAAATGATTTTGTATTTCTGGGAATAAGCATAACAAATTCATTTTAATGGTTAAATGAATAGAATTTTTGTGTATTTTGACAGGGTAGAACGACTGACGCCTACGATCACCTATCTGAAATCGAACAGATTCTCAAACTACAGCTAACGCTCCTTTGTATAATTTGTTTGGTTGTTCTCTGTGGTACCGCGACACCTGTTCTTTTTCATCTATTAGCTCAAAGAGAAGTTTCCACTGGTGCTCCAAAAATAATCACAATTAAAGCCTTGGGTGCGTATTCAAATAAGGGAGAACACCTTGCCATCATGAAAACACCTGCTGTTACCATAGTAGCTGCATGAATCAGAGCTGATACTGGGGTAGGGCCCTCCATAGCGTCCGGTAACCAAGTATGGAGTCCTATTTGTACGGATTTTCCTACAGCTCCAATAAAGAGTAAAACACAAATAGCAGTTAGTGCATGAATTTTCATATTAGAAAAAATGAAAGAAATTTGTGGTTGGGTTTGTACTACCTTCAATACAGTGGTGTTTCCCCCCCACCCCTTCTGTCCCTCCATTTTTTTTCCCGCCACTGGAAGTCTTTTTGCTATAGCTGTGACCTTGGGGCCTGCTGTAAAAGCGTTCGCTGTTCCGGCCCTAATGGGAAGAGGCGTG